GACGGCAACTGGGACTGCAGGGGTTGCCGTCGCTAAGTGATGCGGTTGTACTTTACAAACGGAACAGAACGGAATGCAACGGAATTCCAGTCCAAGTTGTCGTTGTAACTCAAAGACTCCCAGTAAGAAGCATGCATGACTTCACATGCTTAAAATTACAACGTTGCATACTTGTACAGACTTCAAACTTCTCAACTAGTATATGTGGAGGCATTCACTGACTAACCCAGCTCTTAACGTTTAGCATCCTGTTAGGTTCCACCACACTGTTTCTGTACATGCAAAGCAAATGCCTCTTGGATGTGATCTTTAGTTAGCATGTATGATACGCTTCCACTAGACATACTCCAAGTAATCACAATACGGCAGGAGATAGAGAGAAATTATGTGCTGCTGTCTAGCAATCATCTGCATCTTTGTAGCCAGATACCCTATGCAATGGGGAGAAGTGGGGATAGGGTTCATTCCTCCCAACTGATTCCTGTTAAAGGTTTCTGGTTAGCCACTGCCCTGTGATGTCAGGCTAATTAGCTTGCTTGCCACCAGATATGGGGCTTGGGGCTGTTCTGTTTCCTGCTTATTCCATCTTTCTAACCAGAGCCTCTTTCTTCGTGGTTGTATTGTGGTAGAATCTTTGTCTTTTTTTAAGCATTACGTATGAACTAACACAGCTGGGTTGTTTCAGATGATTACTGTTCCATGTCTTCCTGAGCGACTCTCAACAATGAATCCTAAACGATTTCCTGGTAAGCAGGCAACAGATTCTGAAACAATTCTTTCGTTACCTGCATAGATCCGTGCCAGAGTATAGGCAAAGTCTCTTCCTGCAAGCTGCATCTCAGCTTCTCCCTCCGAGTCCATTCTTGAAACAAACCGCTTGAGTTGTTGTAGATTATTCTGAACTACTTGCACAGAAGGCTGCAGTTCAGACAGTCGGGCAGCCGCCTCCAACTTGGCCTGCAAGGAAACCACCAAGTCACAGAGCAAACGTGCATAACCCAGAGTATTTCTGGCCAAGCAAAGACATCACTCAGCTGCTGCTGCCGCCGCTTCTCTGAAGATCGGATTCTCTTTTTCCCCCCCTAAGACTGTTGCAGTGAAGACAAGGAAAGGTTTAGTGGCACCTTACAATTAATTTACGCCATCGACACTTGTAGACCAGGGAAGAGATGCACAGTTTTTCTCAAGCTAAGGACTGCTCTGGTCTTTTGAGGGGGACATATCCAAAAGGAGGGGATAGGGCTAGTAAAAAAAAGGGGGTGGCTTTCACAGATGCTGTTCCGTGGGCCTGGCAGAACGTTTCACAGGTGTGCTTTGGTTGCAAAAGATATAGTTAAAATGGGTAGTTACATCTGCCAAGAAGAATACCAAACAAATCCTCAACCCCACAGCATAGTAATGCATGTTCCCCTTTTAATGTCAGTGCATATTCCAGTGACTACACATGGGCTGCAACTCAACCTTTGCGTTCTGAACGCAAAACTGTTGCCACGTAGTAACGCAGGAGAAGATTTACATCTCATATACCAGTAACCGTAATTCAGAGGATAACTGAGCACAACGATGTAATCTGACCACATTTCTAAGAGAAGCCAGTGCTGGATCAAGCCAACAAACCTTTGGTACTGTTCATCCAAATACATTTTGCAACATTACAAGGAAAACGCGGGGGAAGCAATTGGATGGTGCTCTGTCAGGAAGGGTGTTTTTCCACAGACAGAGATGCCAGCTACCTCTCGCCCCTAAGATGCCTATAAATTAATCCAGTCTTCCCTCAAAACATGTGGCACTTTTAGAGCCCTCTAAACGTGTGATCAACACTACTTCATGTGCTAATGCCCGAATGCTTCTTCTTGGGCTTTCTAAAGCTTCTGCAAACTGCACGTGGCAGCCCACCTTCCTTTTCTCTAAAGCTTCCCCCACTGAAGGCCCCACAACGAAATACTAAAAGAACAAGATGAAATAAACCGCAAGGCACAGCAAAATGAGTCCTGAAGCGGCAGGAGCAGCGTAACTGCATTTTCCCACTTCTTGCGGCATCAGCGTACTCAGCAGCGCACGGCCATCAAGAAGGGCCGCCCCAATTTTACTGGGGGCTGATTGAGCCCGTTCCTCAAATCGTTTGTCCTACGAGGTCCATCTCAAAATTTAGCCCGTTTATAGGTGGCGTGACAAACTCCGGCATCGGTGCCTTTCGGGAGCCTACCTGGGCAGTGGCGAAAAAGGCATCCAGCGCTTTCCCTTGGCTCTTGAGAATGGAGCGCAGAACATCCAGGGACAGGACGTTAGTTGTTCCCTCCCAGATTGTTAGCACCTGTCCGGGAAAGAGAGGCAGCGCTAGAGAAACCCAAGTCAAACGCAGAAGGGCAGACTGGGGAGCCAAGCACACGCTCCGCTGCACGGATGGGAGTGCACCCGAGGGCCAACCGTGGCCCTCGTTACCAAGCATCTTAGGGAGGAGGATTTATATAAGCTGCTTTTCCCTGACGCTCCACGCTGTGTTAGCAAAAGCCAGCGGAACAATTACGCTCTGTCCCTTCTCCAGCGTGCAGCCCTCGTCCAGATGTCTCTTCCTGTCTCTCACCCTAAAATAGCTGCACGCTGTGAGAAGGAAGAGCAGGAGTTAACAAAAAACTACTCCAATGCTTTTTACCTGGGTATCCCGGAGCGTGACGGCCAGACCTGTATCTTCCATGAAGCCCTGTCCTCCAAAACACTCCAACCCTTCTGAGACCACAGCAACAGCCTGCAACACAAACTGACTCATTCACACCTCTGACACATCTTTGAACAGATCCTCCTAAGGGCCCCCCTGTCTGGTTCCTATGCCCGCACAATGTCCAGCGTGTCCAGTCCCTTCTCTAACCTGCAAAATGGGCCTGGGCTGGGGACCACTTTCTCTGCACCCGCTCCCACTATAAGGAACATTGCAGAGAATGGCAAGATTTGCTGAAAAGATAAGCCAGAGTGAGAGGAGGACAAACCTGGGGCAACAGTCCACCACAAAAATGTTTGGTTCTTTTTTTCTTTTGACGTATTTGATCTTCAAATGCAGGAGGGACCTCTCAGCCATATTTACTTGGCGATGCAGGGCTTGCCTGAATACACTCTTCTGCCAAGCTACATAACAGAAGGAGCCTGGTAGCCCCTTTTCTGGCTAACAAATTTTACTCAAAGCATCAGCTTTCATGAGCTTAAGAAAGCTGCAGCTAATGAAAGCCGATGCCTTTGAATAAAATGCCTTAGTCCAAAGAGGGGCTGCCAAACTCCTGATGTTTTGCTACCACAGACTAACATGGCTATCCTCCCACAATGCCAGCCCAAATTTTTCTTTCATCAGATAACCTGGTCCTTCTATGACAGCCTGCATGGATTCTCCCTCCCCCAGACCCGTTAACATCTGCGGGAAAGCACTGAGCCCCTGGAAGAAACGTGAATGTGACCTGCTTTGCAGTGTACAGTTTAACGATCGGTGTCAGCAGCCTCAGCATGTGCTCGTCCTGCTCCGTCGCCTTCTTTGTTTCTTCCAGGCCAAGCAGTCTCCCAGTCTCCATCATCAGCAGGAATGCTCCGTGGGTTTGCACCTGCAGAAGGGGAAGGCAGTTGCTTTGAGCAAGACCAGCACCTTGAGGATCTCCTCCTGACACTGACAGCCAACTTCCTCCCCTCCTCCTGCTACTTCCTTAACCATGGTCCTAAACCAGCTCTCCTTCCCTAGGACGTCATGCCAAAATCACATGAACCAGGCATATGCAGAGAGAGAGCTAAGCAGGACTGGACTGGAAATCCAGTCAGTATCCCTACAAGCAAATTGGAGTTACAAAATGTGTTGATTGCAGTTTAAGACTATTGCTAACCTGGCATCCAATAACAGTCCAGCTTTCTTTTGAAGCGTTCTTATTACATGATTTATGTAATGGTTCA